GAGTAGCCAGCGTTGCCGAGGTAATCCTTGGCCTCCTCCGAGACGTCAATGTAGACCTTGCGACCGTTGCCCTCCAGCCGCTTCTGGATCTCTTGCAAGCGGATGTCGACAATCTTGCGGATCTCGCGGCGGGTGAGACGGTTGAAGATGACGGTCGAGTTGATACGGTTGAGGAACTCGGGCAGGAACCAGTTGCGGAGGGCGTTCATGACGAGCTCGCGAGTGGTAGCATCGACCTTGCCCTCGCGGTTGGTGGACTTTGTGAGGTATTCGGCACCCAAGTTGGAGGTCATAACGACGATGCAGTTCTTGGCGTCAACGACACGGCCTTGTCCGTCGGTGATGCGGCCGTCGTCCATGAGCTGGAGCAGGACGGTCAAGACCTCCTTGGCAGCCTTCTCGACCTCGTCGAAGAGGAGGATGGAGAAGGGCTTGCGGCGGAGAGCCTCGGTGAGCTGACCGCCGGCGTCGTGTCCGACGTATCCCGGGGGAGCACCAATCATCCTGCTGAGGGCGTGGCGCTCCTGGTACTCGGACATATCGAAGCGGATCATGGCCTTGGAGTCGTCGAAGAGGAACTCGGCGAGCGCCTTGGTCAGGAGAGTCTTACCGGTACCGGATGGACCGCAGAACAGGAAGCTGGGCGGCTGGTTGGGGTTGCTGAGACCAGACCGCTGCAGGCGGATGGCATTGGCGACGGCCTGGACAGCCTCCTTCTGGCCAACGACAATCTTGCCGAGTTGCTTCTCCATGAGGACGAGCTTCTCCTTCTCGCTAGTCTTAAGGCGAGTGACGGGAATGCCGGTCCAGCGAGCCACGATCTCGTTGATGTGATCGGCGGTGACAACATCAGTGACCATGGCTCCGTGGTCCTGGCCTGATGCGTTGAGAGCGGCGTCGGCGGCGGCCTTCTTGGCTTCGAGTTCCTTGATGACGGCACGCTGCTCGGGGATGGCGCCGTACTGGAGATCGGCGGCCTTGGCGTGGTTGCCGGCGTTGGCAGCATCCTCAAGACGCTTCTCGAGTTCGTCGAGCTTCGTCTTGGCCAAGTGAATCTCCTCGCCTCTCTTGATCTCGCTGAGGTATTTCTGGCGAAGAGGCTCCAACTCCTCCTCCACGTTCTTGGCATCCTTTCTTGCCTGGACCAGACGAGTCTGGGAAGCCTCATCCTTCTCCTTCTCCAGAGCGGCAATCTCAATCATGATTTGACGGAGCTTGCGCTCGAGAGAGTCGATGATTTCGGGTTGCGACTCCCTGGCGACGCGAACTGCGGCAGCCGCCTCGTCGACCAGATCGATGGCAGAATCGGGAAGTCGTCTCGACGTGAGGTAGCGGCCAGCGAGGTTGGCGGACGCTACTAAGGCGTTGTCGAGAATAGTAACGCGGTGATGTCTGTCATACCGCTCCTTGAGACCACGGAGGATGGAAATGGTCTCGGCAATTGAAGGCTCCTTGACGAGAACCTGTTGGAACCGACGCTCGAACGCGGCGTCCTTCTCGACGTACTTGCGGTACTCAGCGAGGGTCGTCGCACCGATGCAGTGCAGCTGACCACGGGCAAGCATGGGCTTCAGCAAGTTGGCGGCGTCCATGCCGCCCTCGCCAGAGGAGCCAGCACCCATGAGCAAGTGGATTTCGTCAACGAAGAGGACAATCATCTCCTTGGACTCCTGAATCTCTTTCAGGACGCCCTTCATCCTCTCTTCGAACTCTCCGCGGTACTTGCTTCCGGCCACCAAGGCGCCGACGTCGAGCGATAGCAGCTTGCAAGCCTTGAGGTTGTCGGGAACATCGCGGTTAACGATTCTCTGGGCAAGACCCTCGACGACGGTAGTCTTACCGACACCGGGCTCACCGATGAGGACCGGGTTGTTCTTTGTCCGGCGGGACAAGATCCGCACGACTCTGCGGATCTCCTCCTCACGGCCAATGACCGGGTCTTGTTGCTTCTCGCGGGCCAGGGCGGTCATATCAATGGTGAACTTGGCGAGGTTCTCGTGCTCCTCCTCGGTGTCGGCGTTCTTGCTGTCCACCCGCTTCGTGCCGCGGATCTGGGTGACGGCATCGTGCACCAGCTTCGCCTTGGGGATGTTGGAGTCCCGCAGGCAGGCTTGTATCGTGTGGTCCTCGGCGAGAGCCTGAATGAGGTGGTCGACGGCGATGAAGGAGTCCTTTTGCGTCTTTTGCAGCTCTTGCGCCTTGCGGAGGACGGCGTGGAATGTGGGTGCGACGGAGACCTGGTCCGGTGGCGGGTCTTGGCTCGGCAGGCGGACGAGCGTCTTCTTGAGTGCCCGGTCAAAGAGTTGCGGGTCGCCGTGGGCGCGCTCAATGACTTGTCGGAACATGGAGGACGTCTGCGGCGGGCCGTTTTGTTGGTCCTTTGAGAGGTCTGCCGGGGGGTCGAGGAGGGAGACGGCGAGGTGGACGGGGAGCAGTTGAGAGTGGGCATACTGCTCCGCGAGGGCCATGGCATCCTGCACGGCCTTCTCGCCTCTGTCGGTGAATTCCATTCGTGAATTCATATTGGTAGTGTAGTTGTGGAAGCGATTGTGTGTGGTTGCGTGGTTTGTTTAGTTGAAGTGAGGTAGGTAATTAAGAGTGGTTATACGTGAGTGGTTCGTTGTTGGGGGAAGCTCAGAATGGCTTCAAGTTGAAGAGTCTATCATTCAACGGGGGTATCTCAATATGTGCAAGAATTAGCTTGGTAACTTGAGAAGGGAAGCCAGTTGAAGTTCGATAGCAATGTTGAATTTATGCTTGCAAAGTGAGGTTCATCCAGACCGTAAACCTGGAAGTGGGCCAAGAGGATGGACTGATCCAGCATGCGCTGGCAAGGCCGGGAAGTCGTAGGGCAGCGACCAGAACCTGGTAGAAGTCGCGCGACGTCACTAGAATCTGAGCACCGACCGAGCCCAAACCGCGGGGTTCGCTTTGAGCGCACGGACCCGCCGTCAGTCATCTACCTATCACCTTATCAAAGTTATCGATAAGGAAACCAAGGAACGTTTTGTCCGATGTGGCTGGTGGGATCCAGGATCATGTGACTTCCAGAGTCAAGCCACGAGTCAGCCACACGACCGGCGCAGGCCTGGGGGACAGGTTCCAGAGCTTCGGGAAATTTTGTCAAGCTGCCCGTCCCGAGAAAGTTTAGGGGGTTGCCGACGACGACGACGACGACGACGAAGAACGAACGAAACGATACGTCCCCACCGACCGATCGGCCGCAAAGCTAGCAACGATGAACTCGGTCCCGGTATTTCGCTTCTCAAAACTGTCCTTTGGCGTCGCCCGGACGAGCATACGGCATGGCCACACGCGATCGCGACGCAGGACGCCCCAGCATGAGCTCACCAACTTTGAGCCGGGCCACGGCGAGCAGATTTGGGTCTGGAGCCACCTGACCTCGAACCAGGTCATCTACTCGCACACGAAGCAGCTCGAGGTACGTTTTTTGAAGTCTTGTTGCCGGCCAATGGCACATCAGTGGGGAAGGCAGATGCTACGTTCGCATCTAGACGTTTGAACAGAGCCCAAGCTAACATTGGCAATCACCAGTCCCACCGAGCCCTCAAACAACTCCCCTTCAACGGCAAAAAGTCCAAACCCGCAAAACTCCGCCGCGACTACTGGGCCCCATTGGCCCTCATCCAGCTCCCCGCCGGCGCCGGCGCAGCAGGCCAATCCGTCTTCCAAAAGCTCCGCGAGTTCCGCCGCATGCACGAGCTCGCCTGGGAGGACGACCTCCTTTACAGGGAGAAGCGCACCGAGCTCCTCAAGCCAAAGGCCATCAAGCCGTGGGGTGTCAAGAAGAACGCTGCCGTTGCTGCCGTAGACGACGTCAAATACTCTGTCGCCGGCAAGACAGAAGACGCTCCTGCCACCGAGGATACAGAGCCCGCCGCCACCCCCGAGGACCTCGTCCGCGTCCGCAAGATCGTCCGCAATCGCCACGAGCGCTCCCTAGCCCTCAACGACCAGCGAGCAAACTCCATCGCCGACATGGCCGCCGTCCTCGCGGGCTTCGGCCGCGGTAACCGCCTCGTCGTCAGCAGCCGCGAGAAGAAGGCCGTGCTCGAGGAGGGCAAGCCGCTAGAGGGCCGCAAGTGGTCCAAGGCGCCGCCGGCCAAGACGGAGATTGTCACTAGCCAGTCTGGCGGAGAGGAGGTAGAGGGCGCCACCAAGACGCCGGCCGTCGACGAGCTGCTGCCCGCGACGATATACTGGGCCAACGAGGACGACCGCAACTTTGCGCAGGAGTGGTCCGGCAACGTCACGCACGACCTGTTCCAGGACGCCAAGGCGCTCTTGGAGGAGAACCAACTCGATCCCGAGGAGGAGGCTGTCGCCGAGGTGGAGGCGCCCAAGGCGGTCGCGGAGCCTGTGCAGGGCGCTGGGGACGACACTAACTACAGCATCAAGGAGCCTGCGGCAGAGGAGAGCAAGGAGGGCACGGAGGGCAAGGACGAGAAAGATAGCAAGGCTGACACCAAGGCTGACACCAAGGCATAAGATATGATTTGTCTTTTCAAGGGGGTGGGAGCTAGGGGAAGGAGAGCAAGCAGCAGCACAGTTGTGTAAGATTTTTGGCCGAGACCCTTTTGTGTCACAATACGGGGAAAATGTGTACATCAAGAAAAATGGACGTGGAGTATTGTGCGATGGCATGGGTTTTTTGTTCAAAAAGGAAGAAAAGACTTTGCAAGTCATATACGCAGCCCTGTTAGAAGTGGCTGGTTATTGGCATTGCCATGTAGACTATTGTATCAATACGGTTACATTGAACCCATGATGGACCGATTTCAAGGTCCCTGATAGAAAAACCTCCCAAATTTCCCTATATCCCTATGTCGAACTGTTCCATTCAACAAAAAAGAAACCCGATTTCCCGTTTTTATAGTAAAAACATGCATATATAATGAGATGCCCATTTGGTGAGTGGGGCGTTTCTTGGTCATCAACTTCGTTAAATGGTGTACGTTGTGTATCCGTACACTGGCGCATTAGATCTGAATGGCAAACTTCTTGAGGTACTCGTAGTCCTTGACGTTGGCGTCGACGCACTCACGGATCTCCTTGAGACCCTTTTCGCCGTACTTCTTGAGCCATTCGGCCTCTTCGGACTCACGGGTGATAACCTTTTTCTCGCGGGGAATTAGCATGCTGCGAAATATACCCCACACTAGTGTCTAGTGTGTGTTCGTCCGCCACACCAAAGGTCAAAAAAATATCCAGCGAGTTTCAAGGAAGTGATTTCAAAAGCGCCCAAACAGGCAGGTCCTTTTTTGTATCCAATCTCTTTCTGGGGAATTATTTTCGTTTGGGAGGGGGTACAAAACAGCAAAAGAGCACCAGCCGATCAGGGGTAGGGGTTAGGGATGACTTACATGCTTCTTGTCGCGCGGCTTGAGCGACGTGCTGCCAATGGCATCATCGTGCCAGCCGTTCCACTTTGCAAACTTCTCCTGGGCGACTTTGGTGTCCTCGTCTGTCCAGTTGAGCATGTTGTCGGTGAAGTCGAGGCCGACGTGGGCGCAGTAGGCGCGGATGACGGCCTCGGGGTCGTCAAGCATGTCATCGGCGTCGACGACCAACAGGTCCTTTTCGTCGACGATGCGCTCACGGATGAGGTAGTCAAAGAGGCGGCGAAGCTCCTCATAGCCGGCCTCGGACGGGTTGAAGTTTGTCCAGCCCGTCACGGCGTCCAGGGGCGGCTGGGTGCAGCGGTAGTACGAGGGGATGGAGCGGCGCGGGTGGCGGATGAGGAACGTCCACTGGAACTTGCGGAGGATGCTCAAGGGCAGGACGGTGGGGTTGCTGGGCTCGGCCGTGTTGCCAGCGGACGGGACGATGGAGGCTGTTTGCTGGTTGGGTGGGATAATGTAATAGGCCATGTCCTTGATGAAGGCGCGCTTCTGTGGTTGGGTGTTAGTGATCTGGGTAATTGGGATATAGTATCATCATCATGGTCTGTGGTGGTGGTGTTGAGCCATGGGTCGAATGCGACGTCAGTCGCGACTCTAAGAGCTCCGCAAGGGTACCGGGGCACGCTGAGCGGCGATGCGCGACATTGTGGCGGCTGCGTTGCAAAGCTTCCCCAGGTGCACACACGCCAGGACCCCCAGCCATCAAACGCCGCTTCAATCGAAATCAGTCCAGAGTTTCGAGAAGCTCTGTTTGAAGCTTCAAAGAGCACCTCCGACCGAAAATTGAATCATTTTCGGGCGTGGAATGGCAAGTTTGGAATTGACGGTGGTTTTGACTGGGGGACGCGGAAGCTCTGCAACTCAATTTGCCAGGGGTTGGGGGGAGTAGCGTACTATAGGGGATTGCATGGGCGGGAATAGTGTGGAGGGGTGTGCGGGTGAGATCGCGATCGGAAAGACAACGACCTCATAATGAGGGGCAAATATGTCTTTGGAGGGGAAAAGGGAATCAGGGGAGAGGGAAAAACATACATCTTTGCCGGCCTCCTCAATTTGCCTCAGAACATCGGCATACGTCGTCTCGGCGAAGCCAGACTTCTCTCTGCCCTCAGCGTCGTTCTCAAAACGCTCACCAGTACGTTCAGGGCCATAGTAGAACGCATCGCCAAAAGGCTCATGTACACACGCCAGCTTGTCCCGGCGGCTCATAAACACCTAAATTGATGGGAAATCGCCATGTTAGCTAATCCTGCTTTTCTTCACATGGCGCTCGCTGTACAGAAGGACCCCCAAGCAGTGAGCTGATGGTGGTTTCGTTGCACAAGCAGAATGAATGAACCTGTGGCAATTCGCTCAACACCACAGGTTCCTCCCCTCTCTCTTCCCGCCAGGCCGTCTTTCTCCTCCCCAAAAGGGACGATTCAGGCACCCTGGACCTTGTCCGTTTTTGGGATCCGGCGGGATTGCGTGCTCGCTCGTGTCCCAGAGCAGACGCCCAGGGAGGAACGAGCAGTGCCAAAAACAAGCCAACAGGCGTTATGGGATTGGGAAATCTCACTCTCTCAAAGGCTGTAGAGCAGGCCCTGGGGTGGGTCGCGCAAAAGATTGGCTTCGAAGGCGTGATGGCCATGATGAAGCACCTCAGCAGCAAAGATGGGGAATTCTCCTATGGGATTTGCTGGAATTTGGAACAACCGCCAACGGGGAAGGCGGATGATGGAATCCGGCAAGGGGTGAACGGGTAACGGGTAGGCAAGGAACCAAAGTTGCAGAGCTTCTTGGTGTCTTAATTGGCACCCGGTTGTGAGAAGCTCTTGTCGCGATGTCTAAACAACAGAAAAGTTGGATGTAGGGGATCGTGAATGTCGAAATAACAAGGTATCGATGGCGAAATCGAGGAGGGACGAGGAGGGAGAGGGAGAGGGAGAAGCTGGTTATAAATCGTTTGGTCCTTCTCCCCCCCCTTCATGGTTCAGCTTTCCCAGAAGCTCTGCAACTCCCGCTTCTACGGTCCAGTCCACGGCAACGGCAACCGCTCCTCACTTGATCCCTCGCGCCGCTGCCGTTCCTTTACCTATTTACCACCACTTTTCCTACTGTCTACGCCTCTCATGTCCAGGTCCGACTGCCTTGGACCGACAGCCGTCGGACCAGACGACGAAAAAAAAGGTACGTAGAGTTACTAACTGCGTACTTGTTGCGTCTGGACCATGGGCCAGCACGGTGCCCGGTGAGCCCACCCCTCCCTTCAGACGGGATGAGAGCGAGGAAGAGAGTAAAGAAGATGGAGTAGTGGTGGTAGGGGACAGCCGATCAAGAAGAGAGGGTACTTTGGTACCGAAAGGATGTGTGTGGCCATGTCCACACTTCACCCACTTGGGTTGAGCCTTGCTGCAACTGGGGACATTCGAATTGTGGGAGAAGAGGGAACACCAACAAGTAGATGGGCAAGTATAAGTCGGGTAAGACGAAGTACTCTCTCATCGTCGTTGACAGGCGGAAAGCAGTGCAAAAGACGGACAGGAAACACGCCAAAGATACCTCGTCCGGAGACCAGACGGTTCGACTATGGTACCTGCTCTACTGCGTATGGATACCTTTGCCATTGGATACTTCCTTACACCTTTCCACTGACTGAGCAGTGAGGTATTCTTCGGATGGGGAAGGCGTAAGTGTATTCTTTTTTCCCATCCTTTCCTCGCGGTGCAAACCTTGTCTTACTACGCGCACTACACGTCATAGCACAAGGAATTGATCCGGCACACACCAATTGCACACAGGCGCCTCTGCGCCCCCGGCAACACTAAAAGTCTGCCGAGTGTTGCAAGCCCGCTTTTGTCGGATGGGACAAGCTGGGTAGAAAAACTCTGTCTTCTTGCGTGCAGTAAGCAACATGCGAATAGGTACAGTACAAAGTATGGCAGACGCAAGAGACGCGAGAGAAAAAAAGAAAAGAAAAAAAAAAAGGGTATTTTGCGGGAATCTGGACTCCTGCAGCGTGGGTACGGAGTACTACTTACCTTACGCAAGTTTTCATCAAGGCCCCCCCCTCCCCCCCAAGGGAAGTTCCCGAATGGGTCCCTTTAGGAAAGACACCAAATCAAAGAGAAAAAGAGACCCCAGAAAAAAGCAGGGCAAATGGAGACGTTCCGCGGCGGAACGTGTGTCGTTGTGTGGAGCCATCTCGCGCGGGATCCAGCGACGAGCATCATTGTGCTCCAGCTGAGCTCCATCTGGCGACATGTCGAAAACCTCGGCCTGGCCCTTTTGTGGCTGCGACGGCAGATACTCGGCATCTGATTATGAGGAGTTGGATGAGAAAACAGAGCCAACAAGAAGATTGAGAAGAGATAGGTGACCGGAGAGACAACGGCCCAGATCCAGGACCACCTTTGGTCGCCATATAACAACAGACCACATCAACCAGGGGGGTCCTGCAAGTGCTGCGATTCCAGCACGTCTTGTCCATGTAATTTGGACGTAATGGACGTGGAGTTCTCGATCCACCACCAGAATCTCACCGAACGGCGTACGGGCAGAAAAAAAAAGAGAGGGAAAAATTACCACACCAGAAAAAGACGTCCAAGAAGAGACGGACATGGACCGGTCCGTTGAGGAAGAGAAGGAGGGGAACTACCTCAGGGAAGGTGGGAAGGTAACGCAACCTAACAAGAAGGGAAAGAGGGGTTCAGCTACCTGCTATGCGTGAGCAGGTGCGGTGGTGCGCACCTCCCTCAAAAAGTTGCAAGAGCTTCGCAGAGCTTCCTAGAGCTTCTGGCAACCCCGACAACTCCCAGGTCACACCCTTCCGCGCCACATAAACGGTTGCAAGAGCTTCTTGGCCCCTTCCACACCCATTACAGAGCTTCGCGAAACTAACTTTGGCTCTACTCCTTGGTCTCGATCCTTCACGATAGCCAGCACGTTGTAGAAAGGGCCCAGACGGTAGAGAATCGGGCTTGTTTGGCAAATCTGCTCATGTTGTTGGCTGACCTTTTGGGAGGGTGCGTGTGGCCGGACGGGCGTTGTGAGACATTCGGACATTGGGCACGCGACCAGCCCTCTGCTCATCTCACTCACGTCCGTCTCTCGATCACAAGTAGCTCGAACTGCAGCGATTGATCCGTCGCTTTCTCCTTCACCAACTCTTGCGTGGGTTGGAAATCTCTGCACATGACAACTCATCCGTAAACATGGACAATAGGAGGGTCCTTCTCGCCATGGTTGTCGGCCCCCTTTTCCCTTCTTGTCACCGATTGAACCATGTACCAGGTCTCACAACGCCACCGGCTCGGCGTGAAGACTGGGCATCAAATGCTCTTTCTTCGCATACCTTTCCACGTAACCCATCACTCCATTCACAGAGCCGGGGTTTGAAGACAGACCATTTCAAAGCCTTTCCAATGTATCCATGAGGCGAATCAGTATAAGACAAGGGGGGTTGAAGAGGCAATCAGAGCATGTACTCCGTAAACGCCTTGGAATGATGAAGGAGACCCAGACTCAAGGCGAAAGAAGACTTTTTCTCTTTCCGCGGTGGCACTTTGCTGCGTTTCCATTACACAATGGTTAAGGGAGGGGACAGAGACCGAAGAAAGGGTCAGTTCAGTCATCCCACGCTCCCACGCTCCTAGAGGGTCCTGGTGACCTTGGTTCCAGCCCTCATAATGCACCTCCTTATCTCGAATCGACATTAGTTGCGATGTCGTCAGCCAGTCCAGGCCTGTTCCGTCCAATAGACTCCCCTTGTGTGTTCCCAGTAACAGCATGGCGTGCCCGCCCACTCGCCCCGTTTCCCGTTCGTGGCCCTTTGTAGGCCGCAGTCCGCAGAAACCTCTCAGTATTTCGCATGTAGACCAGATGTAGCCTCAAAGCATATCCCGCGTGCCATGCCAACGTTTTGCTCCAGGGATCATCGGCAGTCGCCAGAGACGGCCGTCGCCAACGCCGACATCCATAGAGTTGCCGGAGCTAAATCAGGGAAGGGGAACAGCCCAGGGGCTCAGAAGCCAGACAGAGTCAGACAGAAAGTGAGAGACAACACAAGCCAAGTCACGAGGAAAGGGGGAGGGGGAGACCGCCAGCCAGTCCCTCCCCCTCTCACGACCGCTGGTCCTCCCAGCTCCCAAGCCACCGCCATCTCTCCGCCACCCGAGCCACCCCGTCCAGCGCGCCCTTGACCCTCCCCTCCGGATCCCGGAACCGGTGCCCCTCAAACTCGACGAAGAAGACATAGTTAAACGGCGCCGTCAGGCTCGGCCGGCTGTTGATGCTCGTAAGATTCGTCCCGTACCGCCGGAAACACTCCAACACATCCGCCAGCGCGCCGGGGGCCTCGTGCGGAACCGTAAACGACACCATGGACTTTGTCTTGTTCTTTGGCCTGACGCAGTGGCCCGGCATCTTTTGACTCTCGTCCAGGCCCTTTCGGATGATGAAGAACCGCGTCGTGTTGTCCTCGCGGTCCTCAATCGTCCGCGCGAGCACGTCAATGCCGTGCATGCCCGCCGCGATCTCGCTAGAGATGGCGGCGCTCGTCCCCGTCTCGTCCTGGCTGACCAGCTCCGCCGCGCGGCTCGTCGAGCTGACGTCAATGGCCTCGATACCCTTGAGGTACGTCTGCAAAAAGGCGACGCACTGGCCCCACGCCTGCGGGTGCGAGTACAGGCGCCGGACGTGCTTGAGGCTGCACAGCGGCTTCGTCCGCGGCTTGAGCGGGTTCGGGTCCGACGCCGTCGGCGTGCAGGCGCCGGAGCCTTCGTCTCCTCCCCGTAGTCCCGGGCCGGCGGCGGCGTCGTGAGCCGGGTCCGGACGACGGCCGACGAGAAAGTGGTGCACGTCGAGGTAGATCTCGCCGCAGACCGAAATGTCTGGGTACAAGCCGTTGCGGTCGGCAAAGTTGTCCAGCGTGAACAGTACGGAGCCATTGGTTGAGTTCTCGACGGGAACGACGCCGAAGGCGACCTCGCCGGCTTGTACGACCTCGAAGATGTCTGATGGAGGTTCGTTTTCAAGTCAGACGGGAGGTAGCACACGGCACGGCGCGGGAACGAAAACACAAAGAGAAGGAGAATGGGGGTGGTGCCAAGAACACCAGAGACGACATATGAAGAAAGGGAATGGTGATTTACGTGCCTGTGATGTTGACGACGGGTCTGAGATCCCACTCATCTTCTGGGAAAGCCTGCAACGAAGCCTGTGATGCACAA